TAAGGCAAAAGAAAGTGCGCTTAGCATTTTATATCTTATCTTTTTAATTTCCGAGCATAAAATCATGATATATTTGTACATTTATATTATCAATATTTAAAATCAAAATATTACATTTAAAGTAATTAATTATTACATACATGTATAGGTGTACAACTTTGCTTCCGCCGTTTTCCTATAGATGGCTTTAGCGGTAAATGGTGGTCGAAATAAATAAATCATAGACGTCATACAACTTGGGCATCTGTCAACATAACCCCATAGAAACATTAGTCGATTTGTGTCTGCATCATAAAGTTATTCTCGATTGAAAATGTCAATTTACGAGCCAAATTCTCGTCATTTCCGGGAAGTTTTAATTTTTTGCTTCAATATGAAGAAATCTGCGGCTGAGGCTCATCGAATGCTCTCAAATACTTATGGTGTTCGCTATTAGTGAAAGAACGTGTCGTGAGTGCTTTCAACGCTTCAAGAACGGTGATTTTGACGTCCAAGGTCATGCTCTGTTTATGTTATTTGGTGGGACCAGCTCGGCGTAGTGTATTATGAACTTAAAACCGACTGAAACAATCACAGGCGATCGGTATCGAACGCAATTGATGTGTTTAAGTCGAGCATTGAAAGACCAACGGCCGCAATACAACGAAAGACACGATAAAGTGATTTTGCAGCATGACAATGCTCGACTCCATGTTGCGAAAGTGGTCAAGACATACTTGGAAACGTTGAAATGGGAAGTCCTACCCCACCCGCCGTATTCTCCAGACATTGCTCCCTCTGACTATCACTTGTTTCGATCAATGGTACACGACCTGGCTGACCAGCACTGCCGGTCTTATGAAGAAATAAAAAATTGGATCGATTCGTGGATAGTCTCAAAAGATGACCAGTTTTTTCGACGCGGGATTCGTACGCTACCCGAAAGATGGGAGAAAATAGTGGCCAGCGATGGACAATACTTTGAATCATAAATGTATAACCAGTTTTTTACAATAAAGCCTCGAATTTCGGAAGAAAAAACGGCTGAATTAAAGTTGTACACCTAATACATTTAATATATCTTGTATTTTACAATTTAAATTAAACGTGTAACAAATTTTCTTATAATTTCTGAGGAAGATAAATAATTAATAAAGTTGGAAACTGTATACTAAGAAATTCTCTTTGCTTGAATTCGCATTGCAGTATCTATGGCGAATAGGTGATCACGGGATCTATGAAGGATATCCGGCGGAGATCACCAGGTTATTCAATCTGCCATCAAGCATCGATCATGTGGACGCCGTGTATGAGCGACCGGATAAGAAAATAGTCTTTTTCATTGGTCGCGAGTACTACGTCTTCAATGCCAACAATCTGGAACCGGGTTATCCAAAACCACTTACATATCTGGGATTGCCAGCTTCCTTGGAGAAGATTGACGGCGCCATGGTGTGGGGCCATAATGGCAGGACTTACTTCTTCAGCGGCTCCATGTATTGGAGGTGATTTCTCAAGTCGAATTTATCTACTCTTTCACTTATTATTGCTTAGAGTTCATTATAATTCTAGATTCATCAATTTCGGTACAATAATTTTTGTCTGATATTAAATGAAAAATAATCTGAACTGAAATGCGTTCCACACCTCTTCGGATATAAAATGAAATTTGTGCACTTGTAATCCGATTCACGTTGGACCCCTACTCTTTTTAATCCATATAAATAAAATTTAATTCTCCAATTTAATCTTCTGCTCCACAGGTTCGACGAATCTGTTAATTATGTGGAACTCGATTATCCCAGAGACATGAGCATGTTCGCCGGCGTTGGCAATGACATCGATGCCGTTTTTCAATGGAAAAATGGTAAATTTCAAAAACTGACATTCACGAAAAAATAACTTTATTATAAATACAATTATTTAAATATTTATTCAGACAATTTATTATATATATTTATATATGAATAAATTACTTTTAACGCCAAGTATAATACATTTTTAATATAGAAATAATCTATATATTTTCAACATAAGAGATAATAAGCAACTATACATATATAGTTTCTTAATACTTTACACAACTTTTATTTTAATTCTCGATTCTTCTAACATTTTATAAATAATTCTCTATGTGTAACTTCGTCTATCGACTTTCTATCGTAATGCTTCCTTCTTTTCGACAGGCAAGACGTACTTCTTCAAAGGCAAGGGTTTCTGGGAGTTTGATGATCTCAGAATGAGGGTTGCGCACGAAAAACAAAAATTGTCGGCGCCAGTCTGGATGGGTTGTTCGCCACCGGAAGTGGAGACTAACGACATCGAGACTAACCTACCTAGGAAGTCGAGCATTGTCTCGGCTTCCGCCACTATCGCCGTGGGAGAAATCACGTCGATATTTGTCATGGTCGTAGCGAGTTTCGTCATGAGGATAATATACGTGTAAAAATAGAGGTAATTATTGTATTCATTAATACTATTGTATTCATTAATTTTTAACAATGGTAATTAAAGAAGTTTTAAGATATTTCTAAACACAACGTTGATTAATATTAAATAGATATTCAGAATTTAAGATGTCATGAAATATGTAATCGTTGTAAAATGAAAATTATACCTGTAATGTTATGTAGTTAGTATAAAAATAATTAATGAGATATAGAATTTAATATAAGTTTTTAAATAATTTAAAACCAAGTCGAGTATATCATTTGTAACTTCATTTATATATAATTAATTGTATATAAATGGAATTATATATCATTCCATTTATAAAGTTTTACAAAATTTCACATGGTCCGAATAAACATTAGTAGTTGAATACATTAGTAATAGAATAAACATAATAAATTTTAAATGCATTTAAATCAAGCATTTCAAAAGTCAGAGAACAGTAGCTGTCATGTTTTTCTATCTTCTTGTGCTTTCAGATTATATAACGTACATGTCCCTTCCAACTGATGTGCAACGCAGAGCATTTTGTACCTCATATATGAGAATTTCGTGCGAAATACGAATACCAGAAAATCAATCGGATTCTTAAAGCGTGGACGTCGACAGATCGGCAAACCCGGAGATGGAAGACCAACTGTTTGTATATATCGGTTGGAATTTCAAAGGAATGCCTGCGGCACGGATGGATCACAGCTATCGGAATCGATCTCGTCGTTGAGCCTTCCGATGGAGAGATCACGATAGCAGTACAAACGAAGTTCCAAGAATGATATCGAACTAAGTCACGAAGCTACGTTTTCAAAGAAGATATATGAAATGGCGACAAATTATAACATTGTAAAATATATGTGATATTACGAGGAAAAATTTTTTCCTGTATATCTTTTACTTATCTTTTACGTTGATAAAACTCTATTGACATTTAATTTTCTCTTACAAGTATGTGACTTAGGTCCATATCATTAATCCTGAATAGACCGCACCATCACGCTGCGCAGGAGCATATTTTTGTATACTGCGTTTTACACGACCGCATTTACATACAAAGTAATTAACTTAAGACATAACTTTTTTATATCGCACGGATGAGCGACGGGTCCTCAAAGATGCGAAAGGAAACGAGATTCCTTTGAGTATTTTACAGACAATTTTAACTTATGAACAATTTATCACTGCCGAAAATCCATCCAACGTTTTTCGATTCTCTTTTTATGACTGAGGATTCCTATCTCGATTTATAAATCGAGATAGGAATCCTCAGTCATATATATTCCTTTCAAGGACCAAAAAATTCCGTGATCACGTCCTTTTAAACCGTGACGCGCTTATTAGTTGAACTGTCGAATCGACAATCTCAAAACGATAAAATTAGTCGATTCCGACAAAACACATTTTATATAAATATTGTATTAATTATTGATACCATATAATTTAGCAAAAGAGAGGACACAGGCAAAACGCAGTGTCACCAGTTTTGTAAACTGTGATATTTATATACCGCGCGATCAAGTAGTTAGTGTAATATCAAGGAAGTAGAACAGAATCAATTTCGTAAATTTATATACAGCGTCGGTGTATCTAAGATATTTTGCATAAACTTTGCGAACGTACTTCCCGATTTGTTTTAAGCTGATTTTTTCCCAGCATGAGATTTTTAAGCGAATAGAGGTCTCAGAGTGAAAATAAATAATGAAATCTCACTATACATTATCTTGAGTGGATCTCGACAGAATTTTATAAATACTAAAGCTTCAGTAACTAAGAGAATTTAATTAATAAAAAATTGTAAGTAAACGGTGAAGGTGATTGCTAATTAAATTTTTGTAAAAAAGAAATTGACTGCAATTTTAATATCGCGTATCGCAAATTTTCTCTGCGAAGTTTATAGTATTTGTATTCCCGACCTCTGTGTATATATATATATATATA